TGTACTTAACTATATCTATCAAAGTTATAGAGAAATACTTTTTAGTATAATACGGTATATAATATATACGATCATTATACATTTTAAACAAAACAATTGATATTCTTAATTTTTTGTATTAAATAAAATGAATAAATGAATTTAATACCAAAGATTTAGAATAGTATTGTCATATTTTGCAATATAAAAAATAAATATGTTTTTATCAATTGATTAAACTTAACTTATGTTATTCAATTTATTTGTATAATCATGAGAAAGTTTTTATTTTATTTAGTATATAATTAAAAAAATTAAATCAATTATAAAATTTATTGTCACTGGATTCGGTGAAGAAAAAAGAAAAGTTAAAACAATAACATGAAATTCATGTAGTATAATTTTCAATACGGTAAAGAATTGGATAATATTACTGCACAATGGCATGAAAAAAAATAGTGTCAATTTCCGCAGTATAGTAAATTTGAACATGTATCTTTCTTTTATACATATAATGTTAATATATAATATTAAATAAGTACAAAAGAACATATTCTCTGGTTATGTTCATGTAAAATGTATAATATATTAATATCAAATGATTTATTATGCATATTTTTTTGATATAAATCCAAATTTATTAATTAAAATACAAAATTTATGTAACATGACCAATCATGCAACAATAATAAGAGAAGCCTTTAAATTGAATTTAACTAAATTTAAATTAAATTAATTACTATTAAAATTAAATTCAAAAATAAATCTATTTATAGCTTCCAAGAAAGTTGATATATTTAGAGATTTTATAAATGGTAGGATATAAATATATTAATAAAATAATAAAATATATTTAATTACCTTTAATATTGGAAATGATGACATGTTTTTTGATGATTTATTTTCACCAATCAATTTGCCACATGTGATGAAATTGAATACATGTCATCAATTGAAATTGACAAATGTCAATCAATTAGATGTGGAATTCAACTTTTATATATTATATAGATGACATACTTTTTTTTACACGCATAATAGCCTTTGAATTTTTGTAGTAAATAATACATACTTTTTTTTACACGCATAATTAATTACTCTCCTTCAATTAAAATGTAAATCAAGCCTACTCTTCTTTAACACACAACTTAACGTACATAACACACTCAATCACTTCAAATATAATATAAATTACAATCCAAAATAATATGTCTTCCGATTTCTAAAGTTCTTTTATTTTGATTTTTTTTTTTCAACTAGGCAGTAAAAAAATGATGTTTAATTATATTGTTTGTTTATTCTTTTTTTAATTAAGAAGGCAATATTTTGGGGGAAAAAGCCCCTATTTTCAGTCGATTCCAATTTTATAGTTCAACGATCAAACAGGACAGGATAAGGCAATAGTTCGAAGTTTAACCAATTCAAGCAACAAGGTAAGGTGTAAAAACACCGGTGTTTTTTTATTATTTTATTTTTCCAATTAAGGAAAAGTCAAGAAAGAAACTGCTTTGGATAAATTTTATTATGATCTCTCAATTAAAACCAACAACCAAATTTATTCTCTATTTATTTCATGCTTCCGCTTATGTATTACCTGTCAATGCTAATTTTTGGTTCTTGTGCTTTATAACACAATTTACTTACTATTTAGGATGCATAGATCTTATTTTATCTTTTAAATAGAACGATGATACGCGTAAAACCTACGTATAAATTACCGCAAGTGTACAATATCACGTTTTGTAGAATAGTGAATTCCAGATATCGATCCACAGGGAATTAAGTTCATAAATTTACCAAGAAGGTTGGACCGCGATCTGGGCTTCTGCGCCAACTTCAAACACTGTTTTGACCATTTTTTAGCCCGAATTTAATAATTGTAGATAATTGTACATTTCACAAAAGTTGTAGATCTTGAAGTTAGCTTTCGATGGCTACTTGAATGAATCAGCTCAATCAGAGGTTGGATGCAAAAGTTATGCTTGAAATACGAAACAGTGCCACAACCCACGATAATGCACTTTTGCACGGTGTTTGGTTTGATTTTCGACTTCGCTTCCAAAATCGTTTTGAATCGGCAAAAATAGCTTCTCTTTACCTAAAATATAAATAAAACAAAAACAATATAATATATACAAATAAAGCCGAAAACTCGGACGAACGAAGACCAAAACTCGAAGAATTGAGAAGTGAAAATCATGCAAAATGAACACTTATCGGTTTCCGGCGTTGACTTATTTGTTTTTTGAATTTTTTTTACTTTAATATTTGTTTGCCCCCCGTTTAAACAACAATATTGTTGTGGTTGACATTAATATTAACTATATTACTGTTAAACACAGTAATTAACTATGCTACACTTTAACACATTAATATTGTTATATTAATCTCTAGCACAGTAATATTAACGCAACAAAAAAGTCATTATTATTTTGTAATAGAGTAGTTTTAATATGTTGACCGTTCAACAAAGGTAAACATAATAAAATGCCAAAAGAATTAATATTACCGTCAACCACAGTAATATTATTTTGTTCACAGTAATATTACAATAGTAGACATTAATGTTATTACGTTACTCCGTGAACAACTCAAACAAAACAAAAAACCCAAAAAAATAATAATATTAATGTGGTTGACAGTAATTTTATTGTGTTTACAATTATTTTACTGTCAACAACAATAATATAATTACGTTGACTTGTCAACAAATCAAACAAAATTAAAAAAAAAAACTAAAAGAATAATAATATTGTCGTTGACTCTAATTGTACTGTCAATGATAGTACAATTACATAAATGTAGTCAACGACAGTACAATTACATTAATGTACTGTCAGTGACAGTATAATTACTGTTAATGACAGTACAATTACGGTCAACGTTTAACGACATCCGTAAATAAATGAATAAAAAAGTTATGAGAAAAAAAAGTCAACACTGAAATTCGGCAGTGGAAAAAAACAGACCAGAAACAAAATAAAAAAATAAAAAATAAAAAAGTCAACGCCGGAAACTGGCAGCAAAAAAATATTTTTGAAAAAAAAAGTTTTAAAAAATAAAGTCAAAATTGATTAAATTGGGGTTACAATTAAGAATTGGGTGTAAATAGTTGGTGGTAATTTATCATATACATTAATTTTTCCTTTATTTATAATAAATATTAATGGGATGAGTATGAGTTTATTGGCGAAATATATACAACCCCTAAACCATGAATAATAAAGATGGTTGGTCAGGAACTTATGCACAAAAACCCCTAAGAAAAATATACAATGTAACTAAAATGCCCGTTAATAACTTCTTTTCTATATGAGAAATAATATTTAAAATAATGTCTAAATATTATGACCAAACATGGAAGAGGAGAAAATTTTATATCGTTGTAATTGTAAAGTAAAAGATAATATGAAACAATTAAAAAAAAAAAGTTTTGTAACGAAAAGATTTAATTTAATAATTAAATCAACATGAATTTATTTTAAGAGAAGCAAAAGCAAATTCAATTTACAAAAATCTAAAAATAAATTATAAGAAAAAAAAAAAAACTCATAATTTATTTACAAATGCTTGCATCTGCAAACACCACCCATGTATATAAATGGCTTATACTATGCTACACTGGGTGAAATACATCGAGTAGATCTTTACCATTCATATACACACAAATACACACACACTCATATTGGTGTGTGTAGATCAACGATAAAAAATCACCCGGTATAACCTTCACCAGGTGTAGAATAAAAATAACCATGTATAAATGGCAAGTGCAGCTTAATTAAGGATAACCTGATAAGCACATGATTGATGAGAAACCCAAGGTCCAAGTCTAACTATCCTCATCAATCCTCAAGGATAATATATTGTGCATTCCAACGCAATGTGTATATATAATTAATTACTTTATTATATCTGAATGACTTTTCTCTATGCTTGTCCCACCTGTTAATTGGTGGGGTCCACCAAAACTCCAACTCAATCCCAATTTTAAGGTAATTCTCACTCAACGGTTACTTTTCCACACTTGACACATTTGTATTAATCTCCACATGACGCAAATACCCCTCGAAATTGCTATAATGCCATATTATTTTGATACTAAGGTCCATTTGTTTGGCAAGATAAGATTAGACAAAATAAGATTAAATAATCTAATGAGATCCAATTATTTTATTAGAGCTTGAAACGTCCAACAAAAAAAACCCAAGATAAGTCAAGATAAGCCATGATTATATAATTTTGGCGGGTCGACCCGACAATTTATTGAGGATACCAAACATCAAATTAAGTCCAACTATTTAGTTAACCATGACTTCTCTTGACAACCAAACGGTCTCTAATTAGAGAGAATAATAATCAGTTCATAGATGGATATTAAGAGAGAATGATGTTATTTGGTCGAAGTTTGAATTTTCTCTTAACTCTCTTATGAGTCATAGAGCTCGTGCACATGATTAATATAATGCGATTTAGATATCTCATGTAGTTTGTCAGATATTGTAACAGAGTGTAGATTTAACATATCTCGAATTCGAATTTTCTGACTAAATTGAGTTTGTCGTCCCCGATTGTCAATTATAATTTCCTTTTTATTAATGGAAGCCCCTAGAATGAGTTCTTAAGGTAATTTTATGTAATACTAAATGGTTAATTAAGTTTAACAAAACGAGGAAATTAAATGTTATAATTTTATGTATATTAATTATTTCTCAAACAAAAAACAAAAATAAAAACAAAATTCCCAAAATAATAATTAATGCATAGCTGAAATTCTAAACTAAAAGAAAGTATAGAAAAAAAAAGTAACAAGACAATTAACAATCAATTCAGATTATACAGAACAAAAGTAGATAGCAAGGGACAATTAACAGTTAATTAGGAGGGAGTACTAATAACTAAAATAAAGAAAATAAAAATATTAATTATAAAGTTTAAGCACACATGTAAGAATTAAGATCCGTGTATTAAGAGCATAGCGACGTATTTCCGCTGCAACTCCCAATGTTTCCGTGTGTATATATACAATCTCTCACACACACACACACACCGATCTGCAAAAAAATCCTTTATCGGATTATCATTATACAGAAGAATTTCATAATCATAAGCAAAATCAAAAGGGGGAAAAGGAATAATGGAGGTTATCGATCATTCATCAGTGGCTCGTACCCGCTTGGCGGTGCTCACCGCCCACCTCTCGTCTTCATTCGATCAATTCGGCGCCGTTTCCAACGGAATTCTCGAGTCTTCCATCTGCTCCGCCGCCGTGGAACCGCCGCCTAATCTGAAAGGATCGCTGGTTGTGGTTGATGAGCGTACCGGCAACAAGTACCGGGTTCCGGTCTCCGAGGATGGCACTATCAAAGCCACCGACCTCAAAAAGGTTCGTCTTAATTTATTTTTTTTCTGAATTTGAGCCTATATTCGATTCTAGGTTATTAGTGTGTGTGTGTGTGTGTGTGTGTGTGTGTGTGTGTGTGTGTGTGAAATTTGGGTATCTTCTTCTGATTGGAGTGAGTGTTACAGATAACAACTGGAAAAAATGACAAGGGGCTGAAGCTTTATGATCCAGGATACCTAAACACTGCTCCGGTACGATCGTCAATTTGTTACATTGATGGTGATGAAGGAATTCTTAGGTACAGGGGTTATCCGATCGAGGAGCTTTCCGAGGGGAGTTCGTTTCTGGAAGTGGCTTATCTTTTGAGTAAGCAATTGCGCACTTTTCGATACTTGTTTCTTGAATCTTATGGGGATTAGCTTTAAATTGTTTATTCAACTTTTCCGATTTTTATGGCAGTGTATGGGAATTTACCGTCCGAAAGTCAGCTAGCAGATTGGGAGTTTGCCGTTTCACAGCATTCAGCTGTTCCACAGGGAATATTGGTATGCTTCTACTTCCTTTCTTTTGATTGTAACCGTGCCATATGTTATGCTGATCCGTTTTGTATATGAAGGTCAAATTTGCTGAATGAATTAATTTTGATAATGTTTTGCTTGCAGGACATAATACATGCGATGCCCCATGATGCTCACCCGATGGGTGTTCTTGTGAGTGCTATGAGTGCTCTTTCCGTCTTTCATCCTGACGCTAATCCGGCTTTAAGAGTAAGTTCATGTTGTAATAAATAATTAGATTTCTTCCAATATATGAACTAGAATATAATCTTGTTACTGTGACGTATTTTTCCTTGTTACATAATCGTTTTAAGGCGATACAATTGCTAGTTTATTCATTGGGTGAATATTCTTTTTGTAGGGCCAAGATATTTACAATTCTAAACAAGTGAGAGACAAGCAAATTGTTCGTATACTTGGGAAGGTGATGGCATTTTCGTCCTTGTACTGATGGATGGATTTAATGTTGGGTATCTTCCATAGAATTATTCAGCTAAATCGCAAGTTTGTACTAAGATTATACTGATTATATTTGCAGGCACCGACAATTGCTGCAGCCGCATATTTGAGAATGGCAGGGAGGCCACCTGTTCTTCCATCAAGCAACCTCTCTTACTCAGAGAACTTCTTATATATGCTTGATTCATTGTATGTGCTACTTCCTGCTTTTCGTTACAGACTTTTATTTAATTTCTAAGATCAAATTTGAGTGTTCACCTACTTTCTATTTCACTTCCATATCAAAGACGAGGGATAGAATTAAGGGATACCAGAGTTTAATCACTGCAACTTAAAACTGCATTAGCAAGTGTATATTTCCTTTGAAACACGAGCTGGTCTTCTAACTAAGGGCTTTCGACATTGAATAAACAGGGGTAACAGGACATACACACCAAATCCACGTTTAGCTCGTGCGCTAGATATTCTGTTCATATTACATGCTGAACATGAAATGAACTGCTCCACTGCAGCTGCAAGGCATCTTGCTTCAAGGTTGTTTCTTTGTTCTCTTCTTACACACTTGACATAATTTCTTCAGTTCGTAACGTAAGTAAATTCGCACGTGCAGTGGTGTTGATGTGTATACAGCGCTCTCTGGTGCAGTTGGAGCCTTATATGGTCCTCTTCATGGTGGAGCTAACGAGGTACTCCACATTTTCTGTCTATAGGAATTTCAATTGGATCAACTAAGTGGTTAATTAGTAAAGACAATCATAGTATGCAAGTATTCAAATTATTTGCTTTTTTTTTTTTTTTTTTTATAATTTTTTTTTGTTTTTATAATTTTTTTTTTGATTGTGTAGGCAGTACTTAAGATGTTGAGTGACATTGGAAGCATTGATAATATACCAGATTTCATTGAAGGTGTAAAGAACAGGTTGGTATTGTCTGATGACTTTTTAAATAATCTGGTATGAGTTGTCTTAACTGTTTGTGTTTGTGAAAATTAAGGAAGCGTAAGATGTCTGGTTTTGGGCATCGTGTGTACAAGAACTATGATCCCCGAGCAAAGGTCATCAAGAAACTGTCTGAGGAAGTATTTTCAATTGTCGGCAGGGATCCGCTTATTGAGGTGGGTTTATTCAAAGTGAATTTAGATGCATTACTGGTTTAAAATTGGATGTAATAACGTAATTGAATTTTAAAACCAGTGGAAATCATAAATTTTGATGTTACTTATTCTGGAAAGGTTATGCAAATATATTTATCAGGATGAAATTCTTACCTATTTTTATCCCTTGAGGAAAAAGCTCGAGCTATTTCAGTATGAAATTCTGGCTCTCATACATGAGTTTCATGTCATGTACAGGTGGCGATAGCGTTAGAGAAAGCTGCCTTATCAGATGAGTACTTTGTGAAGAGGAAGTTGTATCCTAATGTTGACTTCTATTCTGGATTAATTTATAGGTATATTTGTTTTTCCCCTCTCGTGTTTGATTGTGTTAACTGTTAATCGAAAGTAAATTTGAATGTTGTTACTCTGCTGCATACACACATGGTCAGGGCAATGGGTTTCCCGACAGAGTTCTTTCCAGTTCTATTTGCAATTCCGAGAATGGCTGGCTATTTGTCTCACTGGAGAGAGTCTCTAGATGATCCCGACACAAAGATTATGAGACCAGCACAGGTACATCTTTAATTTCTTTTTTATCTTTTTTTGCTCTTTATAACTAACTTATATTCATTTCCGGGAAAAATGAAGTTTTCGTCCCTCAAGTTTGCACCGATTTCATATTTGGTCCCTCATGTTTAAAAAATCAACATTTTTAATCCTTTTCGTCAATTTTCTGTTAAAACTAACGGAATCAAGTGTGTGCCCATCAATGACTTAACTGACATACTTACGGTAAACTGACGGAAATGACCAAAAGCGTTATATTATTGAAACGTGAGGGACCAAATGTGAAATAGGTGCAAACTTGAGGGATGAAAACTGTAACTTTCCCATTCATTTCCTTTGTTTCTTGTTTACGAATTGTTTATGCATTATGTTTGAATATGAAGGTATACACGGGCGTATGGCTAAGGCACTACATGCCACTGAGAGAAAGGATGGATACAAGAGAAGAAGATAAACTCGGCCAAGTCTCTGTCTCTAACGCTACTAAGAGGCGCTTGGCTGGATCCGGTTCCTAGTCTCTCTCTCTTAAACATCACGCGTTGATGAATAAGTTTATGGAATAATACTGTTGGGATTGTTTTTTCTAGTTTGGACACTGCATCTTAGATTGATATTTGTAATAACAGCATAAAAAATTGTAAGATTTTATTTGTGCTACAGTTGATAATTGAGCAGTAATAATAATATAACAATGATGGTGAGTCCATCCTTGTTGTTACTACTTAAAGGTTTCTATGCAGATATTTGTGGTGGATTTTTATTGATTGACATTCTGATAAATAAATAATAATATAATTGATATTTGCTGAAATCAATTTGTAAATCTCTTTTACAATTAACTTTTTAGGCTAAACTGTAATTTGCGGTCCCGGTGATTTTATATACGTTTTGCACGACTCGAAATCTGGTCCCGGTGAATTTATATACGTTTTGCACGACTCGAAATCTGATAGACGCAGATCGTAACGTTGTTGAAAAGTAACAAACATCACTCTTTAGATCGATTTACAGACTGATAAATAAACGTTAACAACACCATGAAAGATAACTTAAAAACAAAACCCCATCTTCGATCCCATATTTCTATGTGTTTCGATTTTCGTACAATCATACCACATCACATCTCTAACTTGAATCCAGCCATCTCAGCCTCGTGGCGAATTTCCTTACACTTGGCTAATCTCCCAGACTCCGTATAAACTCCAATCATATCCCTATAAATACCATAACTCGGCCTAAAACCGGATTCCTTGAGTTTAGAAAAATACCTAGCTGCCCTCGACACATCGTTCAAACCAACAAAAAGCTTTATCAGGACACGATACGCCGGAAGATCAAGCACGCAATTCGAATCCTCCATTTCCCAAACAACAGCCATTGCGTCCCTATATTTACTCTCCAAACACCGACTATGTATCACGGTCGTGTACATAACCACACTCGGAATATTATTCCCGGACCTGTTTTTGAACCAATCGTACAGTGCTTCCACGATCTCGAATCTCCCCATCTTCGAGCAAACTTTCATAACAGACGTGCAGTCCTGCTGAGTCAGCACAAGTTCCTCTCTTTCCGCGAGCTCTTCCAATAACGGCAAAACGAGCATTCTTCTATCGGGATCTTTCCCCAATTGTGAAATCAGTTTGGCGTACACTCCACTATCCAACATTCTTTTACCTTCGGTCGCAACCGAGAGAAGCTTCCAAGCGAGCCTCGAGTTACCGCCTTTGATGAATCCCTTCACCATAGCCTCGTACACGTTCTTGCTAGCTAACGTGATGAACTTATCCATTTCGAACGGCATTTTTAGCTCGTGGGCCCTGGCAAGTATCTCCACCGTCGAAGCTAGGATTCGATCGTCGGGGAACAAATGCGGCTGGTTCTGAACCCAACAGAAAACGTGTAGTGCCCGATTGGGAAGTCCCATATGGCCCAATTCACGGACGGTGAGCGACAGGGACCCTTTTCGTAGAAACCGAGCCCATGGATCGAGAACGGCAGACACGTTATCTTCGGGGTTAAGGGTCCTGATTTCTCTGGCTAAGGTAATCAAGAAAGTCGGATTCTTGTAAATCTGATTCGATACGGGCTGCCTTGAGGAACAAGAGGGGTGATTCTTGATTAGATTCTTAGGGGTGGGGAATCTCAAAGGTTGAATCTTGTGAGGAAGAGGAAGTGGGAGAGGCCTCTCTCTATTGGGTTTGCCTGGTTTCTGAGGCACCCTCCCTTGGAAAAGAGATGAAATTGTTTCAATCTCGTCTGATTCCCACACTAGATTTTCATCGCAGCTGTCGCTAACATCGTACTCGGAGTGAAGTGTGTCTGAATCGGAATCGAATGGGACGGGGTGGAGGATGGGGTGGAAGTCTGGGGGGCTCTCTGTTCTGCGGCGGTGGCGGAGGTTCTTGGTCGGCTGCGGTTTTCGTGTATTGTGTTTTTTGGTGTCGGAGCGTGAGGCGGATACTATTAACCCACGAGGAGATTTGGTAACGTGGGTGGTGGTGCAAATTGGATATGAGAACGCATAGCAGAGTGAGGTCTCCATCCATCAAAATTGAAGAATCAGAATCGGAAAAGTTCGAACAGACATTTCATCGAACAGGTGGTGGGTGTTGTTATTAAGAACGTTGAAATTTCTGTACTGGATTACCAAGGAGTTGCCGGTGAGGTGAAATCTCAATGAAAAACTGTTAACCAGCGTACCCAAAGGAAAACTTGCAAAGATGTATGTATCTATGTCTGTATACAATTTGTTTTTCCTTTTTCCTTTTTTCCTATATCATTTCTCAATGAGAGAGAGGAGAGAGAGGGGTGGGTACTACAACGGTTCATCAAACATTTTGTTTTTGAGTCTCATTTTTCCCTTGTCAACGAAATACATATTCTTTTGGCTTAATCCCACTTTGCACCCTTAAAATATTACAGTTTGACATTTTGCACCATAAAAAATAATTAATAGCACTTTGCAGCATAGAAACACAATAAATCATTCACATCTGCACCTTGAATTGAATTTTTAAAACTGAATGAGAGTAATTTTATCTTTATTGATTTTTTTTCAAGGTGTAAAATTAACAAATTAAATTGTTATTTTTAGTACCCTCCAACCAAATTTCGAGCGTACTTAAAAGAAAAATATTTTCTCACAAAAAAAGAAAGAAAAATATAAACTTTTCATAACTAAATTATTCGATTGGTGGATTTTTTTGTAATCGGTGAAAGTATTTGTAAGAAAAATATAATTTTCAAATAATTTGATTAAAAAAATAGATGAGTTAAAAAATATTGGTGAGAAAATATTTTTCTTCTAAGTACGCTCGAAATTTGGTTGGAGGGTACTAAAAAATAACAATTTAATTTGTTAATTTTACACCTTGAAAAAAATCAATAAAAGCCTTAAAAAAAATTGTGAACAAAATAATTTGTTATTGTAGAATATAATACAAGGTGTATATAAATATATATATTAAAAGTAAATAGCTAGGCTTACGAGTTTACAAGAACATATAATTCTTGTATGATACATACACAAAGTGCATGTTATAATTAAAAGCCATCATTGCTCTAAAAGAAATTGAAGTGTGAGAATAATGAAAATTGAAGTTACAGTATATAGAATTGATGAAGAAAGATAATGTATTTCATTAACAAAAGCCATCTATTTATACAACAAATTTTGTACTCCATACTCATCAAAACAAGATAGAAATTATCTCATGTATTGACACGTATTACTAGAAGATTAGTCATCAATACAAAACTTAGTGCGGAAGTCTACTTTTGATATATCACAACACTCCCCCTTAGATGTAGCACTAATTTGTAGCGTCTCAAATTTAGTTGTGTGCATAAGCTGCCTCGTTAAAAACCTTTGCTGGAAAACTCTGTGGGACAAAACCAGTCATAAACGAAAAAAAGTGCAGCGCACCATTGCTCCTCCTGAAATGAGCAATATTGCTTCTGAGATGGATAGTCAGTCTTGCTTCATATTGACTCTTCGCATTCTAATATAGTATACCAATTTCTCAAATGTAGAAGTCGGTAAGGACTTTGTTAATAAATCAGCAAGATTGTCGCATGAGCGAACTTGTCGAACATCGATCTCTCCATTCTTCTGAAGCTCATGTGTGTGGAAGAATTTTGGTGATATATGCTTGGTCCTATCACCTTTTATGTATCCGCCCCTTGTTTGCGCTATGCTATACAAGCAACATTGTCTTCGTAAATGACTGTGGGCGTGTCTGTAACCGGATGTAATTGGCAGGAATTTCGTATATGAGATATAACTGATCTTAGCCAAACACATTCTCTGCCTGCCTCATAAATGGCTATTATTTCAGAATGATTTGAGGAGGTGGCCACCAACGTCTGTTTGGTAGATCGCCAAGATATACATGCACCATTATAACAAAACAAATATCCAGTTTGTGAGCGAGCTTTGTGGGGATCAGATCTATATCCCGCGTCGGCATAACCAACTTACCCTTGGTTAGTTGTATTCTTCGAATAAAATAATCCCAAATTTGCAGTACCACGGGGATATCGAAAAATATGTTTAACACCATTCCAGTGTCTCCGGGTAGGCTCAGAACTGTACCGCACAAGCACATTTACCGCAAAAGCGATATTAGGTCGAGTGCATTGTGCTAGATACATTAATGCTTCAATAGCATTTAGATAAGGCACTTCTGGGCCAAGTATCTCTTCATTAAATTCTTTAGGTCGGAACGGATCCTTTTCAGGATCTAAATTGCGCACAACCATAGGGGTGCTTAATGAATTGGAGTTTTCCATTTAAACTTCCTGAGCAATCGTTTAGTATATGTAGATTGGTGTATAAGTATGCCGTTATTTTTATGCTTAAGCTCAATACCAAGACAGAGTTTGGTTTTTCCAAGGTCCTTGACCTCAAACTCTTTCTTTAAATATTCAGCTGCATTGGCTAACTCTTCATGAGTTCCAATCAGGTTCATGTCATCTACATAAACCGCAATGATAGCAAATCCGGTTTCAGATTTTTTAATAAAAACGCATGGGCAAATGGGATCATTTTTATAACCTTCCCTGATAAGGTATTCACTCAATCTATGATACCACATGCGATCGGATTGCTTTGGACCATACAATGATCTCTGTAATTTGATTGAGTGCAGCTCACGAGGAGCGCTGAAGTTTGGCATTTTAAATCCATCCAGAATTTTCATATAAATATCAGAATCTAGTGAACCATATAGATAGGTCGTTACAACGTCCATTAGACGCAGGTCCAGTCCCTCTTGGACAACCATATTGATAAGAAAACGGAATATGATCGTATCCATAATTGGTGAATACGTCTCATTATAATCAATCCCAGGCCGCTGGGAGAAACCTTGAGCTACAAGGCGGGTTTTATATCGTACAATTTCATTGTTCTCGTTCCTCTTACGGAAAAATACCCATTTATACCCAACGGGCTTTACATTATCCGGAGTTTAAACGATTTGCCCGAATACTTTCCGTTTTTCTAGGGAAGCCAATTCAGATTTTATTGCTTCTTCCCACTTAGGCCAATCATTTCTTTGGCGGCATTCCATTATGGAACGCGGTTCACTATCATAATCATCGTTCATAATTTCTTGTGCAACCGAGAATGCAAAAATATTATCGATGATTATCTCATTTCTATCCCATACTTCATTGCAATAACTTATGGGATTCTCGGTATTCCCGGGATTTGGTATCGCTTTTTCGATATCAGGCTCAACAGATTTATCTGATTTATCTGGAGCATTCTCACTAGGAACCACTTGGTTCGAGGGTTCATCGATTTTCCCCTTTCTTTTTCTAGGAACAACGTCCATTGATCCAATAGGTCTACCCCATTTTTGTCGTGGGGGATCATCATTCATTTTCGCATGTTCTTCAGGAACAACTATCCTAGCAGGAATATTCACAGCTGGAATATAAGACTTCGTTACTTTACTGGCATCATTAAATGCATCAGGAAGTCTATTGGCAATATTTTGTACATGAATGATTCTATAGATCTCATTTTCACATTCACAGGTACGTGGGTCGAGATGACATAAATGTTGCTCACACCATGTGAGATTCTCGATTGGTTTTTGTTTATCATTATCACGTATATTCTGAATATCCTTACCAATCGGTATAAATAATGTCTCATCAAAATGACAATCCACAAATCTAGCGGTAAATAAATCACCCGTCATTGGTTACAAGAACCTAATAATCGACGGTGAATCAAACCCAACGTATATGCCAAGTCGGCCTTGGGGACCCATTTTAGTCATCTGAGGAGGAGGAATTGGCACTTGCACCGCGCAACCAAATGTGCGAAGGTGCGAAATATCGGGCTCAAAGCCTAATGCCAATTGCATTGGGGAATGCATATGATAAGCAGTGGGGCGTAATTTAATCAGTGCTGATGCATGCAATACTGCATGGCCCCATGCTGCATTAATGAGTTTAGATCTCATCAGCAAAGTACGAGCAATTATTTGGACGTGTTTAATCAGAGATTCCGCCAGTCCATTTTGAGTGTGAACGTATGCTACTGGGTGCTCGACATTTATTCCCAGTGCTGCACAATACTCATCAAAAGTTTTTGATGTAAATTTTCCGGCATTATCCATTCTTATGTTTTTAATGGGATAATCAGAGACATGTGCTCGGAGTTTAATAATTTGTGCTAGCAAACGCGCAAATGCAACATTTTGCGTAGATAATAAGCATACGTGGGACCATCTACAAGATGCGTCCACCAAAACCATAAAATATCTAAATGGTCCACTTGCAGGGTGTATTGGTCCACAAATATCACCATGAATACGTTGTAAAAACGACGGTGATTCATAACCGACCTTTTCAATGAAAGGTTTTATAATGAGCTTTCCTTGTGAACATGATTCACAGAAATATTCATTGGACATTAAGATCTTTGTATCCTTTAATGGATGTCCCTTAGTATGTTGTACAATCTTAAGCATAATAGTCGTTCCTGGGTGACCCAGTCGATCATGCCATAACCCGTGTATATCGGGATTAACATGTTTCCATGGCATCGTGGCGTAGGATTCAAAAGCTCGAATTTGGAAACAATACACTCCAGAAGCTGTCGCTTCGAGTTTTTCATGAACAATCCTTTTGTCCATAACATATGATGTGATGCATATACACTCCATAGTATTTTCAACTAGTGTCTCTAAATGATATTCATTACGTCTCACATCTTTAAAACTCAGAAGATTCTTATTTGATCTACCGGATATCAATGCATTTTCAATATGCAAAGTGGTACCATTAGGCAACACAATTGTTGCGTTCCCGGAGCCATCAATTATTTCCACGGAACTGTTAGAGTAGGTGACCGGCAAGCCAACTTGTGGTTGTGGTCTTTCTCTTTTCCTTGTAATAAAACAATCGTTTTTCGTTCGTAATAATAAAATATCTTATTTGGCATTCTATATCTGTTATCCCATGCAAGCAGCATAGATATAGTCCTAACGAGTTACTCTATTCCTGTGAGTTGATCTAGTAGAATCGTGAGATAACTCAGCAATGTAATGTAACTGTTAAACCTTGTTCCTAGTCGATGGGTTACGCCAATAATGAGGATACCGGCCTTTCCCTTTTGAGACTAGCACTTAGTGTATGTGTACTGCGTCTCATCAGTCCTCGGTGTTGTGACATCGGCACACTTGAGTGGGTGCTCATACTGGATGAGTTCACTGAACTCCCTCGCCCTAGAAATCTATAAGTGGTTCTCATTTATCGAGTAATAGGTTTCTAAGATATAGTTGTACACCATTAGTCCTTAAGACCCAGACATCACCGT